ATATATATATATTTGTACATATTTATATATATAAAGCATCATTGGAGCAATTTCTATTCTAAAATTGAGATGAATGGCAATTTGACAACCTCAATCATTTGTTGGATGAAAAGGTTTCCATGGTTCCATTTACTTGAAAAATATAAAGGATGAAATAGAAATTTCATTTCAAAACTAATAGAAAAAATAGATTGATGTTTAGCCAGTTGTGAATTAACAAGGGTAAGAGAGTGCCAGAATCGAAAAGTAGAGGAGTTTATTTTCCACAGAATGTAGTATTGGAGCTGATATATCATATGCCTGCAACTGCAAGTAGATTGGCCGATTTGAATTTTGGCCAAGAATTATTTTGAGGGAAGAATTTGTTTTTTCTTCCTTTTTTTTCTCTTTTTTTTTTAAGATTTCATAGCATCGAATTTCTTTTTCCAATGTGAATACAATCCCTGAACTTTCGTTTCGGGAAAAAAAAAAAGAAAAATCTTCTTTAGAGACAGTTTGGTTAAAAACTAATTTTTTAAGGAAAATTTTATTTAAAGAGTAGTCAAAAAATGTTGTACATTTAGTAATTAAAAATTATTATACAAAAAGTTAATAAATTTTAACATAAAATTTTATTGAGTAATTAACTTTTCTAAGTTAATATTGAAAAAGTTTGGACAAAATTGAAATAGGTAAAGTTTTTCCCTTAAAGAAAACGTAAGAAGAAAATGTTATTTATTAATAATTATTTGATCAAAAAATAATAGTATTATATTTATTATAATATAAAAACGTAAAAATATTAAAAGATATTTAAACTTTCCTAAATAAAAAATAAAAAAATAAAAAAACTTTTCCCCAACCAAACAAATCCTTACTTGAAAAGATATATAATTAAATCCCCTGCATAAACACTAGAACGAAAAAAGTGCATCATATATATGTTTTGTGACTATCTTCGTAAGTTGTAACCAAAATTTTGTAAAGCTAGCATTACCTATTCAAACATTATTATTTTTCTGAATAGTTTCTGAATATCTCTGTTCCTTACGACCAAAGAATTTATAAAAGGTTAAAATTAAAAATTTGCAAGTTGTGCACCGAAAACAAAGAAATGCAAGTTGGTAAAATTTTTACTTACAATTTTCAGAGAAGCCGCCAGAGCATTTGACTAACCTTTCCCAATAAGCTATTTGACCTTGAATAAAACCTACAAAAGGAAAGAGGGGAGGAAACTATAATGCACCATGCAACCCATTTTTCTTAAGGAGTATAGAAAATGATTTAGTCATAATTTTTATTCACAAGTTTTACAAATAATTTTATATGCTATTTATTATTAAATTTTTTTATTAGAAATTTATAGTTATTGATATTGTCTATATTTATTAATTATTAATAATATATAAAAGTTGTAAAGAAATATTTTTTTTTTGTATTAACTTTTCAGTATCTAGTAACTATATTGAATTTTGATTAATTTGAAATCGAATCGCGTTGAATCCTATTAAGAGAAAAATTCTCTCAACACATGTTTTTCTATTCATAAGACTCAAATTCAAGATTTTAATTAGAAAAAAATCAAGCTCATTCAACTCGAATCGATAGGTCATTAGTAAAGTTGTAAAGAAATGTTGTAAGTAGTGATTGTGGCTAAATAATAACACAAAATATTTAAATTAGCCATTCATAAACCCAATTTGGGGCAAGTTTCATTTTCCTTTTTCCTATATTCCTTTCTTTTCTTTTACCATATTGCAATAAAGGCAATTCACCATTAATTGCTTAATAAGTTTGGGAGGAAATTTCTATAATTAATAGAAGTTAACGGTAATAAGATTTATGTAACTTGGTGTGCTGGGTTGAAGTAGACTGAAGATTTCCCTTCACCTACCCTTGTAGGTGTTGGTTTAGATGTACTATGAGACAAAGCAAATCTTTTTTTAGTTTATAAGTTGGATGGTGTTCTTAAATTCAGTCGTGGTTGCAAAAGTCAATTAGGAGGAAACGTACATATAAGAAAATGTTGATCACATTGACCAAATCAATATTTAGGAAACTATAGGTTATTATTATTTTATGTAAATGAATGATTTAACAGTTGACACTTGTAATAAAACCCAGCAAAATTTTAGTCCAGTGGTTAAAATGAAGGTCTTGGTTATTTTAGGTATTAAGTTTGAGTCTTCTCTTATATAAGTTGTTATTTAACTTTATATATTAATAATAATTAAATTTGATTGTATTATAGTTAGTTAGATGTTAATTGATTAATTGATTGGTAATATTCCTAATATATATTGGAATGAAATTTGTACCCATTAAAAAGGAAAAAACACTTATGAAAAAGCTCTATTCAACAAAACTTCAAAATTTAGCCCCAAACAAATGTTTTACATGATAAATTATATGTTAAAAGTGCAGTCCACTTTATAAACTTATTAAATAACTATTAATAAAATTATTTTTTATGTTATTTCATTAAAAATATCTTAATAAATTTATAGGATAAATTACATGATATACGATCTATTTTATGAAATATGAATAATATATATATATATACAAAACTTCTACAAAAACGTATATAATTAATTCAAATAGATTAACAAGGTAATTATGATAGGCTACAAAAGGCAAAATCCATAATTAAATTCCGACAAGTTAATAAGGTGAGTAAGTATTTGAACCTGAACTGCGCCTGCAGTAAAACTGCACATGGGACATGCTTCCCCATTGTGGTAGTTGTTGTTGTTGCTTTTACTTTTATTTTTAGTCTTGTTTTTTGAGTGTGCTCTTGAGAATCATCCTCACTTTTTGGAATTTCAGTGCTAAGAAAAAGACTGAATACAAAAATGAGTCGAGATAAGATACTTTTACTAACCTGTAAGTTTTAAATAAGTTACTAGCTTATTCTTACTCTTTATCTTTAAATCTAACAATTTGCAATATATTACCAAATGTAGTACAATTATTTTCAATTGTTAAAATTTAAAATTAACAATTAATAATGTAAAGACTTACACATGTTTAAATTGATTCCAATTCTAAGAGAATATACTATTTTTTTTTATCTTGGTCGCACAATAAAAAATAATTATTTTTCATCATTTATCTTACCTCATTCGTATATCATGCGACTCGAACTCAAAACTTTTTATTTTTAACAAAGATTATTAAACTATTTAAGTAGTTAGCATTGCTATTGTTTTATAAGTTCTAAAAGAGCACACAAATTATATAGTAAAGAAGATCTTAATTAGGTGATTGAAAAGTGTTATTATTACTTACTGGAAGCACTAAATTGAAAGGGTCATTTTCAGACTCTTTACTTACCTTAAACAATATTATCATGCGGATAAAATTATTTAGACTATGTAGTTTGCATCCTTAATTCTTAATTACAGTTGAGTTCAATTTAGTTCTCACCTAAAGGAGTCCACAACTAGGACCTAATGTGAACTGGGCTAGGGCCTAGATAAATGTGGGTTACAATTTACAAAGAGCAACCTGATCCAAAATAAGGACCCAATATCCAAAACTAGTTCCAAATGCAGCGGTAAACTAGGCATTGATTGGGGAATTACTATTTATTTTGAGCTGGGTTTTTTGAGGGCAAATTGCAAGTAACCAAGTTCATGGATTGGCGGATTGGCGGATCGGCGTACCCAGAGGGAGGCCTAACCTAGTAAACCCATTTTATAGCTCATGACTCTAAATAAGGTCCAAGCCCTTAGTCACCATCTCAAACCCTTTGTGCTGACGACAAGAATATGACCATCGATTAAATTGTTAAATTCTTAAGATTATTAAAATTATAAAATATAATTATATAAG